ATGAGTCGTTATCTCGACTATTCAAATTTCGAAATGGTGGCCCTAATTACGGTCCTGTGGAAATATAGGCCTATATATAGGCTAATATATAATAACATGTGACAGGATTATTGCATCATCCAGACAGATTAAACGCATTATCTTGAAAAATCAATCAATCTGGACTTGTAATAAAAGTGATAAGCTGATAACGCACGTATAGTAAAAACAATTTTTCATTTATTTATATACACGTCGCATATTCATTGTGATAAGAAAATAATAATAAATATCATGTATCACGATTTAAGATTAGAATTTGCATTACATTTAATAATAATATGGTTGAAAAAAGGTGTTCCACATACATAGACACATGTATAAATATAGCTACAAGGAGTGATGTAGAGTTGTTAAAACCACTAAATTCTAATTCATTACTTTTTCGAATTCCGGATTCCCGGAAATGATTTTACACCAACGCAGGACAAAACTAGTCATCTAGGAAGTCAAAGTTGGATTTTAAAGTAATTGTTTTGATAAGATGGTCGGAAAAAGGTGTTCCACTACAAGGAGTGATATAGAGTGTTAAAACCAGTAAATTCTATTTCATTACTTTTTTCGAATTCCGAATTTCCGGAAATATTTTTACAGCATCGTAGGACAAAACTACTCATCTAGGAAGTCAAGGTTGGATTTTATAGCAATTATATTTTATAACTAGGTGAGTAGTTTTGTCCTGCGATGCAGGAAAACCGTTTCCGGAAATCCGAAATTCGAAAATTAAAATTTTTTGGTTTTAACAACTCTGTCACTCCTTGTAGCTATTTCTATAGATTTGGAAAACACCTTTTTCCGACCTATGTTAATAATATAGGAAATATGTTTGTACCACAGTGCCCCTCAGATCGTAGCGATTTAAAGCTCTGAGCGACACTGGAACAGCAAACGACGGGCGCACGACTTGTTCGTCCTGCCAATTGTTATCGTAAACTAATTGATAACCAACTAAAATAAAGACGCACTATATTTAAATTGTGTTTGCCTTAATCTACCCAAAGTCCTTGTCGATTTGTTATCCCCGATGGTATTAACAAGGTCTATAGTGCCAATTGAAATGCGCAATTTCAACTACGTAGTTACGGTCTCCATCTGTATAAACAAGATTTGTTGATAGTGACATTTTGTGGGACATTATTCATAGGCCATTTGTAACAGACTTCAAAAATGGAGGTTTTCAATTAGACTGTTTTTTTTTTGCATGGACACTGGTCACCGATGGAATCACCGAATGGAACCGATTTCGACAATTTTTTTTTTTTGTTGAAAATCCCATTCAATAATTTATTTAATAATAATATAGTTTTTTTTCTGAGTGTTCGATCTTTGTATTAACAATTATAACAAACTAGTGGAGTAATTTAACAAAAAATTATTGAATATCAATTCAATAAAAATTTAAAATCCCATTCAATTTTTCAGAATATATTTCACCTTATGGTACTACAAATTAGGGGATAAATTGAATTTATTGAATTTCACCCCCTTTGCGTTAATCGATTTTCAAAAACTTAGCGGGGCACACGAAAGGAGCCGCCCCACAGGTGAACCTTTTTGTTTCTAGTGGGAGACAGCAAGAAGTTGGTCTAATTTAGTAAAATTATTTTCATATAGTGTTTTTTTTTTTAATAGGACAGTGTGGGGAAATTGGAAACTATAGAAGATACAAAGGAATTGTCTTAGGAACCACTAAGTCTTTTTTTTATGATAACAATTTTGGCATAATCAATTTTTTGGTCACGCATGAGTTATCTATAAAAATTAATAAAATTTCAAATTTTTTTTTGCTGACCAACTCAATTTCATGTAAGGATCATTTCATTGTACGGAACGAAAAAAATTGGGACAGGTGGAGTTGGTAAAATTTAATAAACTGATTTTTCATACAAAATGAATAAAATTGACTAATTTATTTTTAGCGCTTAAAGACTCAGTGTCTTATAAAAATGACTTTATTGTATTGGACGAAAAGAATCGGGACAGCAAAAGTGGGTCTAATTTAATAAAGTGTTATTCATTTTACATGAAAAAACTTTTTATTAAATTTGATCAACTTTGCTGTCCCGATTATTTGTCGTCTGATACAATGAAATGATCCTTATATGAAACTGATGAATCAGTCAGCATTAAAAAATTTTCGATCAATTTGATAAATTTTTATGGACAACTCACGCTTGACCAAAAAATAGACTATGCCAAAATTGTTTTCACAAAAAAGACTAATTGTTCCTAAGACAATTTCTTAGTATCTTCTATGGTTTCGGATTTCCCCATATTTCCCAAAAAAAACACTCTGTATAGTTAAATTTCACAATTATTATCATTAAAATTGACCCATATAACTATCACCGCCGCGTTTAAATGACTTGACGGACTTATTAAATCCGTGACTGCACATCCATGTGACATTATCAAATAAACATGTCGCACCTAGTTTTTGAAGGGCATGAGTTATTGTATAATGTACCTTTAATATCTAATGTATGATTCATATTTGGTGAAATCATAATTATTTGTTACAAGTCAACTTTTAACAAAATATAAGCACTACGAAGGCACAGGCCACTGTTGGAGCCAGGAAAGTTCTTCAGTTTTTTAATGCTGTTGACCTTGGCTCTGAACATAGAATAATTAGTGGTGATCACAATAGAGATCAGTAAATGGTTGCAGTGATGAGGGCCTGGACGGTAATGGTATGGCTTACAATATGATTGCAAAGAATAACCAACTTTGGACAGCAGTATCAACATACTAAATGTGTTATCAGAAATGAATTTTTAAAAACTCACATCAGTCTTGCAAAACCCGTAACACGGTACAATGGTTTGCACTATTATGTTTTCTGACGGATATTGAATAATGTTATGGTGTAATAAAGCTGCTGCTATATTAAATTATACTATGAGTGACGGTTGTTACTAAAAATGTAACATTCATTATGGTACTTGCGACTTATCACACCTTGTATTTGTATTCAATACACTTTAAATAAAAATAGATTAGACAGGACTATCATTTGTCTACAAGGAAATCTGAATAGCGTTACAAATTAATAAAAATTTGTTGTAATAATTACCAAAGCTTTTCTTCCTGTCCTTATCCCACGCTAGGTGGGGTTGGCACAACATGTATTTTTCTTCCACTCTCCCCCTACCAGCTGTCATTTTTATACTCACACCTTTCTTATCCACGTCATCTTTCACACAATCCATCTATCTTTTCTTTGGCCTTCTTTTCCCCTTATATCCCTCCACGTTCATACCTAGCACTCTTCTCGTCACATGACATTCTTCCTTCCGCATGACATGTCCATACCACGCTAACCTGTTACTCTTCATCTTTTCCGTCACTTGCGCCATTTTCAAACTTCCCCTGATGTACTCATTCCTGATCTTATCCTTCCCCGTCACTCCACAGATCCATCTCAACATTCGCACAACATTTCCAATACATGCACAGTTCGTTCATCCATCCTTTTCATCGCCCAACATTCTGATCCATACAACATGACAGGTCTAATCACGGTCTTGTAAATTCTCCCCTTTTAGCTTAAGGGGCATTCGCCGATCGCAAATAGTGCCTGGGACCTGTCGCCATTTCATCCATCCTGCTCTTATTCTGTTCTTAACGTCGCAGTCTTTCTCGCCGTCATTCTGTATTAACGAACCGAGGTACCGAAAATCGGATAACAATAACCAAAGCTATTAGGCTCAATATATATTGCAGTGGAATGGAATGGAAGTGAATTTTTGTAACTATATTGTAACATAGCATAATGAACTTTATGGTCAAACGTGTAATGTACAAACTTGAGCCAAAATCTTCTACCCACCATGATAGTATTATTTAATAATCGAGTGTAGTATCCTCAAATATTATTTAATATTTCATGGCAAGATTAAAACTTAATAACAAAAATTGTCACCGAAATTAAGTAGAGAAAAGTAACCTCTTTTAAAGTAAAGTTTTTATTTCTATCGCAAAACATAATTCTTTAAATTGAACTATTTAAATGCTAGTAACTTGAAAAATTTTCAAATATACCTTAACAAAATGTACATTTTACATAAGTACTTCCCAGTGTTACAACTGAGGGTATATACAAAAAAATATTCAAGCTTGCAGTAGTCTGCCCTTTTCCTTACCCTCATTAAAAAATTATAAGTTACAAAAGACAACAAATTTGCGATCTTTTGACTAGATATATTTAACAAAGTTATTATATACAGAGCTAAATGAACTTAGAAACTGACGATTAATAGAAAATTGATGATATATTGCGAAATTCTTAGTCAAACAAGTTGAAACAAGTCTAAGTTTGAACATTGCATTTAGAATTTTCTAGAGCTATGCTTCAACAAAATTAAATACAAAGTATAGTGTTTGAAACGCTATATACACAATTTTGGACAGTACTAACTAACAATACCATTAGAAATGGGATAATGGTACAACTACAGGCAAATAAGCCTACATTTTCTAAAAGTACGAAGGAAAGCCAGATTTCACCACGCATACGGCGCGAAATGACGATTATGCAAATATATTTAAACAAATATGGTATTTCGCATTGAAGAATACACTGGTCCGTCGGCGTGACCCAAAACGGGGTCCCCTTAGCAACTAGATTGAGGTTATAACATTGATGCAACAAAAAACTGAGTTTCCACACATAAAAACAATAGATTGGTGAGTAATAAAAAATGAAAAGGCATTCAAGACTTACCCGGATGCTTCCGTGGTGGCTTTTTAATTTAAAAACTCCCTATGGTCTGGTAAATTATATTCTACACTTCGCACGAACAATCTAAAATTCGCCTGACAGATGACTGATTGTAAGAAAAAAAATGGCGACCACCCAATCGGGATTACGTCACCGAGCGCCAAAATTGAATTACTCTTTCATTTTTTATTACACCCAATAAAATACATATTAAATTCTAAAAATAAATAAAACTTACCTCATAAAGGATAAAAAATGTGGAAAGTTGTAGAAATCCAATTAACTTTTCTAATACATGAGAGTTCTAACTTTCAGTCCTATTCCGCGCGATGTTGCCAGACCGGTATTGCGTCAGAAATTAAGAAACGTTCAAGCTCACACATTTCAAGGCAGATGCTCATAATTAATAGCTTATCCCACTATAAAATTATCACAGAATACGCGAGAATGAAAAAAACGCGAACCCACAGTCTGTATAAATACAATTTTCTTCACGTAAAAGTTCACAGTAAGAGCGGCAACGTCGCACTTTTACACTAGAAACAAAGAAACTGCAGAAAAAAACACGGTAATTCTACAATTTTCTAAATAAAATTAATACTAATAATTTGAACACCACAATTCGTTAGAAATTTCTTATAGTAACAATTTCAATTGATACTTAATTCAAGATATAGTTATCGCGAGAAGGTACAAAATTAACTAAATTTATGTCTATCCTATCCAACTTGTTTTTGTTTCGTACGTTCGCTTAGCGTTGTAAACAACGAATCGGTGTTGCCGTAATCGAATTTAGAACTACTACCAATGACCTTCATGGTAGAATGTTAAAAACTTTCTAGAAGGCCATAAAAATATATTATTTGAATTCGCAATTGTTGAACGCAAAACAATACTCATACGCGGGGACCCAATTTTATTAATATAATTTAAAAATCCTAGTTTAGCTTTTATTGTCTTTTTTACATGTACATATATTATGAAAATAAAAATTATACTCATTCAAGTATTAAACAGTCAAAGGCAACCTTCAATTACCATGTATTAATCGACAATGAATGTAACATACATTATAGTAAGCACCTTGCTCCCACTTTTTAATGACTTTTACGATTCAATAAGTTCATCGAAATAACTTTGTGTAGTAGGGTAAATAAACAACAAATAAATCTAAAATAGATGACTACGAGCATTCAGTTTATGATATTTCGTTGCGGACCATCGGCATCTCGGTCTTTTGTTTTAACAAGGCTACGAAGGTAACAAAGCTGCGCTACAACCGACTAAATAGTTAGTTTTTAGAAACACGACAACAAGGCGACTTTTAGCAGTGATTATATCGCGGTTCTAGCCATTTATAGGCAGTTGCATGGATACAAACACGCGACTGCATCGCTTGCGTTGCATTACGCGCATCGCGATTGTATAGCTCGCTAGTCGATACTACCTCGGCTCAAATTAAAATTTTTCTCGGACTAATACGGTTCATTTTGCTTCGGTCAAGCAGCAGGAAACTGGCTATTTTTCAGAACTTTTTTTTTACAAACGAAATCCGTCATTTCAAAAATGTATATCGTATAGTATACACGTGTTCGTATCCGGTTGATATAAAAAGAAATCATTGGCATATGGTAGGTCAATATGCCAATATGTAAAGTACCTATTGAATATAGCAGTTTTCTTGTAAAATTTCGAAGTTTTTTTTTCTACCGTTAAAATTTTTAGGAATTTGTTTTCGAACCGCACACATCCCCAATTTTACTTAATATTTTTTTACATAATTATTGATTCAACACTTTCACTGTTATGTGGAACCAACCAAATCCATTACTCTTAAGGCGCACGTGTGTAAAGGTAGAAGATTAGCGGCTGCATCGTGACTGAATCGTTGTAAACGCGCTGCTTAAAGTCGCCGGGTAACCGCTCTTACCAGACTAGTCAAATCTCAAAAACTCTAACATGATAATGCTGGAATAAAGGACTGGAATTATGGGACATCGAGTGAAAGAAACAAGGTTAAAATATGTTTTTATTAATCGTACAGGCATGTCAAGCTTGACATATAAGATTTAAATTCTATTATACGCCGCGCCGCTAGCGACAAGAACGACTCAAGCCTGTCAAGCTTGATGTGATTTTGACTGTACATATTCAAATAAAAATAAAGTTTGTGCAATCTTATTTAATACATTACACCAAATAATATAACTAAATTTAACAATAAAAAGTGGTGATTGTTCAATGTATCCTACAAAAAGTACACAATAAAAATTGGGAAGCTTCAAATTTTTTTTTTAATATTAGGTTGTTCTATATTGGCATATATTATTCCCTTCTTTATATAAAATAATATATTTTATTCGCTCATATCCAGAAAATTATGCAAAGATTTATTTATTCCGTTTAACTTTGAGTTGTAATAAGTTTTCTACAATGGTAGTTTTCACTAAAAACTGGCAACACATAAAGGAGCAAAGATTCAAACCTTTACTCTCAACTTAGTAACGACAACTTTTGTGAATGCAATTACTAAACATTAATAAACCGTATAGTAACAAATAATGTGATTAAAAATGAATTAAAAACGATTAACATTAAATAAAGTAAATAAACCAAACACTACTCGCATACATAAAGTATTGTTCAGATCATGGCAGTGAAGACAATTTTTTCCGTACTTTCGCTCTGGACGCCTTCAAATTAGATTGTGCCTCTACAGCCGCGCCTCTACTAATTGTCGTACAATATTTTGAGCCACTGTTATGACACGCGCGCGCCACTTTTGCAGTCACAATTAGTGAACTACGGACTCCAAATAAAACACATACATTTCTTCAGGCTTTAACCTCCTAAGGCTCTATGTATATCAATACGTATGCATACAGGGCGTCACACGGCTATGCCTCACGGTGGGAAAGTACCTTAAATGCCGTAATTAGAGAAATTTACTGAAATAAGACTTCATTTTGATTTTAAAAACAATTCGAACTGTATTCAAATATTTTTAAATAATCGCCTGTCTGTACCGGGAATCGAACCTACCAAATGTGAAATTCAACATTTTGAACGTAAAATTTGATTCTCTACACGTCAATAACACCGTTGTTAGAATACTGTAAGAAACAATTTGAAAACATCAACTTAACTAAAAATGATACAAACGTGAAAACAGTCCTTACTCTAAAATATGAAATTATGTTTTACCAATTATTTTTTTAAATATTTGGCAAGTAGGGAATTGTTTAAGTCTGTAATAAACTCTAACCTGTACATAAATTGCAATGATCTTTCACGGGAAGTGAGTTTTTTCATCGATTCTGATAAAAATACACTTTTTGAGTTAATACCATTGCATTAACAGTGCGAATAATATGTATCATCGTTTATAAATACATAACAAGCGTATTCTATGTACTGCATAATGTAGGTATATATTTAGTATTGTAGCTATTAGTATGCATGTTAAACAATATGTTTTATGAAGTTTGTTTAAGTGTACATTCAGATAAAACAGACTGTATGGCTATTTTGTGCCTTTTAATTGCACCTTTCACTATGCCTATGTATTGTCTCTGGTTCCCTTGTAATAAAGCTTAATATATTCTAAACTTACATATTAGGTTTAGCTGTAAAAAAGAAGTTGTGTATCGAAGTTTGAACTAAATTATCCGGGGACTTTTCAGTCTTTACGTATTTTCTTTTTTTGGGTGTCACATCATGGTCAGGCTTCAATATACTGGCAACTTCCGGCGTTTGTTGTGGATAATTTAATATATATTGCTTCAGTGTACTATCTTTAGGGTCTTTTTTAGCCTTTTTACTCTGTGTTATCTTCAATTTTAATCTCTCCTCCCGCCATCTTATTTTCACTTGTATATTTGCACGATTTTTCTTGTGTTTTTTATGTTTTCTTTTTATTTTCGGCGTATCCACGGTTAAATCTAAAGATTTATTGTTCTCACATATTAATTTAATATTTTTCTTACCTACATCTTGGTAAACTAAAGTTAGTTCCTTTTTCTTTTCAGCGACGCCATCTTGGTGCATTTTTCTTTTTTTTTTTCGCTTTTCTTTTATCATACTAGCTTCAATAGCGAAGTCTATAACAGACTGCAGTTTGGCCGGTTTACAATCGTTCTGTACGTGTTTGTGTGCAAATTCGCATTTGAAAGCTCTGTCCACCTCATTCAAATACTGATTCTTGAAGCTTTGAAAGTCAATATCTAAATTGTTCTGTTGCAATGTCTCTTTATCAATAGGGCTAAATTTGAAAGCGCATTTTTGAGCTTTTACCGGACTTAGAGCCAAATTATTGAACACATCCTTATTATCCGTATGTTTCATATTAACCACATCGATATTGACTATTTCGTCGTTCTCACTAATTTCGAGGCTCGAATTCTTCTGTATATCTACAGTTTTGAGCTTCGGGCTTTCAAATATCACACTTTCATCACTTAGATTATTTGCAATGAATTCTGGAGGTAATTCAAAGGTGCTGTGGGAAGAATCTTCTTCAAATTTGATAGCGTCTGCTATCGATTTAGATGGAGAGTCGTTTTTAAAGCCGTCTTGTGTGTCTTCTTCAAACGTTAAAGTGAACTTCTTTTTAGGCGATATTTGTTGTGTGATTGGAGCATGCAGAGCTGGTCCTTGATTTTCTTTATACGTCGAGTTTTCTTCTTCATTATCGTTCTGTAAATAACAAAAAGGTTAAATGTAAACTAATTTCTACGTAAGTAAGTGCTGGGAAGGTACAGGCTACAATCAGTAGGGCTAGCACAACAGGGCACGACTAGCGCGAGAGCGATATAAAGCGAGATACTGCTATTCTCGCATAGAATTTTCTTGTTTATGTCGCTCTCGCGCAAGTCGTGCCCTGTCGAGCTAGCCAATCGAGTATATAACCAGAAATAGAAACGACATGTCATTTAATTTGGTTGAAAACTATTCTGCCTTATCATTGCCGTGACAACAACGCTCCGACTGACCAGCCCGAACTCTAAACAATTGACGGGTGTCGTCAATTGTTTCAATTCAAATCGACGAAAATTGCAAAATCACATATTTAATTACCGATGAAATTTGATTCCGTTTGTTTTGTAATTAGATGGTTTGCTGTTTTTCCCCACACCAGTGAATGGAACAGCACGTCATTGTCAGATATATTATCTTTATTACAATAACATACAGAACATTTTTGGAATATACGGAGACGTACATACAGGTCAGTTGTTGGCGGCTGACTATATTACAGTGCAAACGAGAGTTGATATTTATAAGTGATGTACTTCATCTCCATTTCTGGTTATATAATCGATGTGCTAGCCCTACAGAGGACATAAAAAAGAAAGTTCTTCAGTTCTTTAATGATGTTGGCCTTGACTCTAAACTGTAATTAGTGGAGCTCACAATAGATCAGTTAATGGTCGCAGTGATGAGGGGCCGCACAGTCCCTGAATGAAGCCACCCTAATAATAATAAGGAACTAATATCTATAATAATAATAATGTCGGAAGTATCAAGTAAGTAGTGTAGCAGCTCCTTGTGAAAGAGTTCGTCCAGGGAAGTACTGCCACCTTACCTATTCTTGCCGCCACACTATGGTGCATTGGCGGAAAAAAATATTTTTTATGACCATTTATCTAAACAAATCTGTGAACAAATCAAAATACTTAACGTTTAATGTTATATCTGTTTTTCGCGTGTCCTTGTAAAGTTGGCTTTTTTGACTTGTACCCCTTTTCACTAGGAGACTTCATAGAGACAAACACTATAAAAACAAATTGCCAATACTTGTGCATTTACGTACAAATACGAGGATAAACATATCCGATGAAAACATAACCATTTCTGCGTAAAAACTTCTACATTTTCAAGGTTTAATTTTAAATAGAAATTTACGATATTTGTGTATTTTTATAATGCCTAATAAGCATTTTAAAGGATTTTAAAGAATGCTTAAATTAAGACCAATATTTTATATGTTACGTAACACGACCACAGAATAATATTACTCCACGGAAAATACGACCACTCTCGAAGGCAGCGGAGTTACCTGTGTGGACAGCCAGAGTGTTGCATTCAAACTCAAACTCAAACTCAAAATAATCTTTATTTCATAGGTAAGCATTATTACACTTGAAATCGTCACAATTGTTAAACTCTACCGCTCATTCGTAAGGCAGATTCCCCCGAGAAGAATGAGCAAGAAACTCTAGGGGTTGCTCTTTGTAAATAGCATTTACAATATTTTTTTTTTTATTTGAAACATCAGAGATCGAGACTACCTCCATGAGCTAAACGGGTTACTACCACGGATTTTTGTCATCCAAGTACGCAGAAGTTGTATAATAACCTTTAGTATAAAGTTTTTGTTTCACTATAGTTTTAAACCTCGTGAACGGCAAATTTTGTATATCAACCGGAATCTTGTTATAGAAGCGTATACATTGCCCCTTAAATGATTTTTTGACTTTGTGAAGACGACTATCAAGAAAAGCTAGTTTATTTCTATTCCTCGTATTAATGTTATGTCTGTCACTATTTTTCATAAATAAATTACTATTCCTTTTAACATAAATTACATTTTCATAAATGTACTGCGAGGCTAGTGTAAGAATGTTAATTTCCTTAAACTTATCTCTCAAAGATACTTTGGGGCCCAGATTGTAAATTGCCCTAACTGCACGTTTCTGCAGGACAAAGATTCTATTGATATCGGCGGCATTACCCCAAAGCAAAATGCCGTATAATTGTTTTGCCGCATTGTTTGGGATACAGGTTTGGGATACGGATGGTGCCGTATTATATTGATTTTAATTTCATTGTTGTACCTATATGTATTTATTAGTATCAATTTGCCGGATCATCTTTTTGTTTTGTTTAAAGTATATTTAGGGGACTGTAGGTTTAAAAATTGTTAATTTTAAATATGTATTTTTATTTTCTCATATGTGTAATTGTTCGTCTCTCAATGAATTAAATAAATATTACTTATATTACTTAATCGATTTAATAGACTGTCTTGATTTTAGCAGCTGCCACCAACTGCCACCTTGTGTGTGAGAACACATTAAGTAACTGCCCTCAAGACCAACGATTGCTGCTGCTGATGACCAGATTGCCGATGCGTTCGACAATTTGTCTCAACTCATAGCTGCAATAGCACGCTATGTAAATTTTTATAAAACTAGGTAATCTTGTATTATATATTTCCAATTTATGTGTCTCATTTTATTGTGTTATTACCGTTTTGTTTTCATTAAATACCCTAAAAAAACCAACCTTCGTTTCTAGATTCTTATCACTTCAGTGCGTTTGTAAATTGTCGTATGCTGTCGTTAAAGTTTTTGTTTACTGTTAACATTTTGTAAAACAAAAATACAATTAAGAGCTAGCATTAAGTTTTTTCTAGATTATGATTGTATTTATAAAACAAGTGGCCTCCGCACTTCATTACAAGGGCATCAAACAATAAGGACCTGTATGTTATTTCAGACTTTTGTAAACTGTACATGGAGCAATAGATTAAATATGAAACTGAAATAACCATTATTAGCATTTGTTTTACTTGAATTGAGATTGAGTTATTATGAAATATATGTATCTTTTTACCTTAGAATCTGCCTCGATATGGTTGAGCTTCTTGGGTGAGCTCCATTCCTTTATTGGTTCTTTCGTTTTCGTGTTATCCTTCAGCGTGTTGTCGAGTATACTGTCCAGTATGTCGCTGTAAATAAAGTATATATTATTATTATGACTTATGAACAACAGGCATGGTGATTAGATGTCCTATTTAGCGGACAAACATTTTGATATTATTTTTAAAAAAGGAGGGTGTTCTCAATTTGTCAGTATTTTTTGTGTCATTACATCTATTTCCCAGATTTTATTGAAATTGGAAATGAAACTATTTCTCCGGATTTAAATCGCGTATATTAGTTTTCTCAAACAAACCAACGTTTCGGGCCCTTGACAGGTCCCATGGACACGGTTGACCGAGATGGTAAACTGGTATGATAATATAATAATATTAGACATACCTAATGTTATTAGCTAATTTATGAAATATGCTCATTTCAGTTAATTCAAAACTTTAAAACGCTCTCCTGTAAACTTGGCAATTTCGACATACGATACTTTACGTAGGAGGGGTCGATATGTATTACTTACTTAACAATTCTCCTTTTTTCACTCAAAGGCTTTGGTCTTTTCAGTTTCTTTCTCATTTCATCAACAACCTTTTGCGAATCTATTTTCACATTTTTAACACCCATGGTTTTAATTTTCTCATGCAGCCCCTGGTCCACCATTTTCAAAGGCGACAGCAACTTATTCTCCAAGTCCTGTAGTACTTTGGGATCTAGATACTTAGGTTCCGTGTTAGGTTTCATAGGTGGTTTTAGGTTTAGCGAACGACGGCTGCCGGTGGTGTTGTCTTCCATTTGTGATGTTGAAGGTCTGAAAAAAATGTAAAGGAACGGAGTTGAATTAATGGAAAAGCAGTGCAAAGTCAAACGGAACAATCGCAAGTCAATTTATAAAATTGTTCTATTCAAGGCATATTGCACGTCTTTTTATACTTGCAGCCTTCGGGTTAACTTACACCTTAAAATCTCTCAACGCCTTACGAATTTTGTACATATTCAGGACGTTGTTGCAGCTGCCACGATGTTGTTATTAAAGTTTTTTTATAATGTCAAGTGACGGGACGAACGAGTCGTGCGCCTGGTGGTAAGCTACACGCCTGTCCATTACAGTTGCATTGCGGCACAGATCTTTAAATCGCAAAGATCTGACGGGCACTGCCACTGTTTGTCACTCTGAGACAAAAGTTGACAAGTCGCATGTGACTGTAATTTCACCAGCACCCTTCAAAACCGGAACGCAGTAACAATCATATTACCGCTTGGCGGTATAAATAGTTAAGGTGTCAGTACTTCCCTGGACGTAATCTTTCACAAGAAGCTCTACTGCTACTTTTGGTTTTTCAAAGTTACTAAGGCAGTAACCTGTGAATTGTTATGGTAGTACAACTTTGATCCCATTCTACTAATTAGTCCTAATAATTTAATCAACATTAAATTAGTCAATTATTAAACACTGATAATATCGTTGGTATTTGGTCGAAAGGGCATAAACATCGAGTATATAACCAGAAATAGAGACGAAATGCCCTTTTAATTTATTTGAAAACTATTCTGCCAAATCATTACGGTGACAACTGCGCTCCGATTGGCCAGCCCGAATTTATTATTGACGGGTGTCGTCAATTGTTTCACTTCAAATCGACCAGTTTAACTTGTTACATATTTAATATTACATTACCGATGAAATGTGATTCCGTTTGTTTTGTATTTAGATCTATTGCTGTTTTTCCTACACCACCAAATGGAACAGCACTCCATAGCTAGAGATATTAATTTTTATTACAAGAAATACAGAATATTTTTGGAATATATGGAGACGTACACACAGGTCAGCTGTGAACGCTGTACTATTTCCGCTTTCGAATTCGTGATTTCAGCGCAAACGAGAATTGATGTTTAAAAGTGATATAAGGCCCATTTGCCTGATGAGTTGCCAGGGATAAATGACCCTTATTTCGTCTCTATCTCTGGTTATATACTCGATGGGCATAAACGACATTTCGTAAATTTTTCAGCGGAGCATGTTTTAGGTTTTCACGGGCGCCGGCCGCAGTGACAGGGCCCCACAGATCTTTGTAATTTAAAGCTCGAAGTGGCACTGCTACTGTTATGGACAGGCGTGTCGCTTACCATCAGGCGCGCGACTTGTTCGTCCCGTCACTTGGTAAATAAAAAAAAACTAACCTGTTCGTGTAGTTAATTCTCCCTTTAGTGCGTCGCAGGGACATTCGTGACGGCATTATCGGGCCGCGTCTTGTGGACTCTGTGTTCTGAGTTTGCTCGTTGAGGATTACTGTAACAAAATGTACAGTAGATTTCAAATAAGTTCATTGACACCCTTTTGAAAGCGAAAAATCGTATAAAAGATTATTTGTAAACATCGAGTACATAACCAGAAATAGAGACGAAATACCATTTAATTTGTTTGAGAACTATTCTGCCATATCATTACTGTGACAACTGCGTTCCGATTGGCTAGCCCGAGTTCGAAACAATTGACGGGTGTCGTCAACTGTATCACTTCAAATCGACCTGTTAACTTGAGCTTTGCTATAATGGACGAAAATTGCAAAATCACATGTTTAATATTTAATTACCGATGAAATGTGATTCCGTTTGTTGTGCAATTAGATATTTTGCTGATTTTCCCACACGAAGAAGAAGAAGAAGAAGATTTGAACTTGCCAATGGCGTGGCGTTTGACGGGTTAAAAGACTAAACACTTACCAGCCTCGACGTTCCGTACCAATGCGTCCAAATCGCTGGGTGCGGCCGGTGTGCACGTGTCGCATACAAACCGCGTACAACACGACGTCGGCATACAGTGCGCGTGTACGCCTGTTGTACCACACAGGATGCAAATTTTCATGTCCCACATGCTGAAAAAAATTGGATAAAAGTTACAATTCTAGGGTCGGCGGACTAAAGCAGATAAGTCAAAAAAGTGCTTCATTTGTTAACACATAATTACATATTTTTTATATTGGTTATAGTGTTGGAAGATGTGAAGAGAATGATAAATTTGAAAAAGACGCCGCTAGAATAAAGTTACAAATTTATGAAGTAACAAACGAATTTGACTTATGTGCTTTAGCCGGTAGATGTATTCATTTAAATGAATGATGTTGGATTTTGACTTATGTGCATGTCTGTCGATCCTAGAATTAGAAAGCCGTGGTAGCGTAAAGCGCAGGCCACACCGCAAACGAAGCTAAGCTAACCTAGGTTAGCTCACATAGCCGGGGCATCTATTCATACTTCGGTTCACACCGCGAACTAAGCTAAGCGAGCTAACTAAGCTAACCCAACGATCCCGCCAAGCTATGTAAAATAAGTCGCCCTTCTGCCGCCCTTCACCCTCACACGCAGCCATAGTGTAGCATGTCACTAGATTCTGTTCCAATCCATTCTAAAAACAAAAAGTAAACAAAACTTTTTGTTTAAAATCATAAAATCGTATTTGAAAAATGGTAGTCCAAAAGTGAGGTTATTTTTCAACTATACTTCTTATGACTTATCTATGTTTGCATAGTGCTGTACGAAAAAAAACATTCGGTTCATTCAATTAAAGTTTTTATAATCGATTAGTAAATCGAAAATTTCAATCGCAATCGAACGAGTATCTAAATGTAATGATTCGAAGGAGGATTTAAAGTTAAAATTTGGGAAATTTTAAATAAATGCTTTTATAGGTTATGTATTTTCATGTAAGAAAAACTGCTAGTATGACTCTGTTAAGTAAATCGATTCATTCAATTAATTAATCGATTCGTAGTTGGCATTACAATTGGGCATCACTAAACCGTCTATGGTCAGGTCAGTGACTTGTTTGTTTACTTTTTGTTTAAAATGGATCGAAGTATACTTACTACGTATTTTTTAGTGTAAGCTTTGCATGCGACTACGTGAACTAAGTAGTTTAGCTTCGTTCGCGGTGTTGCCTGCGCTTTATGGTTTGACCTACCGCTTCTCAAGCAGAGGCTGTGAGTTCGAATGCGGCCTCCTGAATTTTTCGGAATTTACCACATTCAGGTCAATAATAATAAATTTAACTTGATAAAAATTCATTCAATAAAATAATTTGTAAAACGTAATGTAGCGTAAATTTGAATGTTTCTTTGTAAAATTCAAAATAAGGTGTTGACTTAATAACTTTTAACCGCGAAAAAGTAGCGTGGTTTGCATTAATATTAGACATAACTGGTTGATGACTGTACCACCTCAGTCGACCGTGACCATGGCACCTGTGAAGGGCCGGTTTTTTTGAAAAAACAAATATACGCGATTTAAATCCGGAAAAATAGTTTCATTTCCTATGTGTAACAATCGCGAAAACCTAAGAACTCGACACATTCAGGTTGCTGCATATTTACTGTTAATGCGTCTTCACGCAACGTTAACGACTTCTCGTTATCAACTTCATGCAGCCGAGACCTCGATTGCATGAAGTTGATAACGGCTTCACGCATGAAAGTCGATCTAGACTGCATGAATCGATTTCAGCAGTTAACTTGGATAACGAATTAACCGCATGCAGTAGAGACCGACCACATGCCGCCGACATCGACTGCATACAATTAATGCGTGAAGCCGTTATCAACTTCATGCAGTCGAGGTCTCGGCTGCATGAAGTCAATAATAATAATAGCGTACACACTCATAGCCCCGCACTAAGGAAACCCTGCATCGCTGGTGCTATGGTCACACACGTAAACAACCACAAATTACACCCAAACTCACGAGAGAAATAAATGTAGGCTATACAAATATTTCTTCCGGCCCGGTTATCGAACCCGGGACCACTGCATGGCAGTCTAGCATGGTAACCTTGCGGCCACGGAGGTAGCGAAAATCTGTTAGCAGCCTTATTGAGCCAAACAGAAAAAGTTTAAGCCCATGCAATAACAGCGAATGTGTGTGGCGATAAGTACTAGAACCTCCGTTACGCTATCAATAGACAGACTGTGCTAGTACGCCTCCGAACAATAAAAGGCGTTACGTAAATGACAATAGACAAGGGTATGGTATGGTAAGGTAAGGTAAAGGTTAAGGTAAGAGATGGTTTTATACCCAAAATCAGAGTCGTAATCCCTCCCTTTAGGGCACAGGCAGTCGTCCGCATTGCACGACAATGGCCGCTCGTAAATTTCTGCGAACGCGTTTTGCTCTAGTTCCCAGGCTGCGTCTCTAAAAAAACAATAAGAAAAAACATGTTACACCTGGGGGTCTATTGTCGTTCTCCATCCGAAACTGTTACTGTCAAATAAGTAATACCCGACCAAATCAAAACACAATGTCAAATATATAGCTTCATTCGCATCATGCGTCTTTTAATATTGACATTAATTACCGATAAGTAATAAGTAAATTACCGATAGTTTAAGTGTGGTGACACCAAATTTTTACTAATATTTCACAGAGAAAGAGATTCCCTTGAAAAATATATCACTTGCTACGGACACTTCACATCGTACTTAAAAAATAAAATTCCAGGTGTCCTTGCTGTATATTGCGTTATTCATAGACAACATTTGGTTGCTAGAAATTTAAGTGAACGTAATTTTCAATCACTGCAATATGTCATCAAAGCAGTCAATAAAATCCGTAACAGCTCTTTGTATGATAGATTACTTCATCAGCTTTGTATTATTAATGACGAAGATTTCAACCGTTTGTTGTTTCATACTGAAGTTCGTTGGCTATCAAGAGGCAATTGTCTGACTCGATTTTACAACCTGTTTAACTCTGTGATAGAGTTCTTGGAAACTAAAGACACAGAATTGCGCAACAAGATCATTACATCAAAGAATGATATAGCTTATATGACAGACCTGTACAAATTGTTCAACGACATGAATTTCTAACTGCAAGGCGATGAAGTAAATTTAATTAAAACAAAAAATGTCGTTACTGCTTTCGCAGCCAAACTGCTTCTACACAAAAAGAATATGGGCAGACGCGAGTTTAACAATTTTCTGAATTTATCAGTATCCTGCAGTAACGACGACTTGTTTGCCTACTGCCAACATTTGGAAAACCACCACATTGACTATACTGAACGATACCACGACATTTTGAAGTTTGGAATACCAGACTGGGTGTTGGGTCCGGGTCAAATGTCAACACAGCAATATCAACTCAGCTGGAAGAACTTATAGAATTGACAACGAACGAGGAAATAAAAATCAAGTTCAAAAACGGTTACCAAGAATTTTGGCTACGAAAACCGATCGCGCAATTGTACCCTGGAGGGTGGTCAATCGTTCAACGATTCTTGATAGCATTCCCATCGTCATATTTGTGTGAACGTGGTTTTAGTGCTGTGACAACGCTGTTTACTAAAAAGAGAAATCGTTTGCACGTTACCGAACGTGGTGGCTGATCTTGTGTAAATTGGAACCTGATATCAACAAACTTATTGAACAGCATCAGATACATCCTTCACATTAGTTTTTATATTAGAATTGATTATGTTTGTTTTATTTTGAATAAAAATACTCTGTCTGAATACTATATAGCTGCGTTTCAATAATCATTCTCATTGGCAGGTGTAGCCCGTAAGAGTTAACTTGAGACCTGAACGCCGTTGTGTACTACCTCAGGTCTCAGGTCAGGTTATAGTAAAAGTCTCGTTTGGAATGAATATTTAATCTCCGCTAATATAGCTCGCAATAATTAATTTAATTTGAAGTTATAGTGGTTTTTAAGTAGGTAAAAAAAATGGGGGCGCTAAAAAATAATTTATTCTCAAAGTGGGCAGTAGACAAAATAAGTTTACCCCCTGCCTTAGGAGGTTAAGATGGGTGAATAATTATAAACTCACCTATCTGGTATATAGTATCCTTGCTCCACGACAGCTTTGTAGAAGTTGTCCTTGTCATTGCAAAGTGGGCACTTCAAATAATGCATGCCTGCGCTTAGTGCCATGCGCTGGAATAGAAAACAGTTTTTTCTCTTCTCATGCTCTTAGGGTCCTATTCCAGAACTCTACTCAATACTGAAGTCAGGTCTTGAGTATTGCAGTGAGCACTGAAAATAGTACTCAAGTCCTTGCCATTAGAGTCGTATTTCCAGTGCTTGAAACCACATTCAAGTCTGCTCAAATTCTGACTTGAGCATTGAGTAGAGTTCTAGAATACGACCCTGAAAGTTCGTATTTATGCTGGGTGTAGGTTGCATAAAATAGCATTTTATGCTCTAGTATGATATGTCTAACTGTTGTAATTTTACATTCAATTTTAATTAAATAATCGTTTATTTGTAATATAGCTGTTTAATTTCCTCACAATCGAAGTGAAAAGCAGAGTGTATATAACTCGTTCATAAAACCCATTGTACCCGCGACTTAAGCATCCATATATACTCGTCTCGGGTAAAATGACCCGTCTTATGCACTTGTTACACAATACTCTATCAGAGTTCGTCCAGAGAAGTACTACCACCTTACCTATTTCTGCCGCCAAGCAGTAATGTCAGCATTGACTGCCTCCGTGGCCGAAGGGTTACCATGCCGGACTGCCACGCAGAGATCCCAGGTTCGATTCCCGAGCCGGGAGAAGTATGTGTATGGCCTACATTTATTTATCTCGTGAGTTTGGGTGTAATTTGTGGTTGTCTATGTGTGTCCATGGCACCCGCGACACAGGGTTTCCCTAATGGGGGGCTATGTTGAGTGTGTGCGTTATTATTATTATTATTCCTGTTTTGAAAGGTAGGGATACTGATGAAATTCCAGGCAAATGGGACTTGTCAACTTATGTCTCAGGGTAACGGGCGCATTGGCAGTGCCCTTCCGATCTTTGCGGTTTAAAGCTATAAGTGGCACTGCAACTGTTATGAACAGGCGCGTCGCTCACCATCCATTAGCCCATGACTTGTTCGTCCCTTAAGGGTAGGTAGGGAGGGTCACAATAATCAAAACTAACGTAGAAAGATATGGTGCTTGCCATTGCAACTGTCCCCATCTACCGACCCGAGATAGGATTTTCCGGAGAGACTACGGGCTTGACGGCGAAACCAGGGTACAGCGGGCGTCCGGGCCAAGCCCTCCGCCAGTGATACGCCTTTGCGGGCGTCCCGGACTTGGGTATGCACTCGCTGGGGTTTGTGGCAGCTAGCGCTTCTTAGTACCGGTCTAGTTGATGGCTTGAAGCGAGGAGACGTGCAGGGCACCTTTGCCCTTTAAGCTGGAAGCTAGCTGTCCGGACATTGTCGCAGGACACTGCGACTGCGACTGGCATCTCCGGCACTAGTTCGGAGAGCTAGTAGAGTATAAGCTAGATATCCTTCGGTCCCTCCGGCCGCTTAGATTATTGGGAACTGGGAAGACGTCGATTTTCGGCGTCGGGAAGTGAGCGTGCCTTACAGCTCCGCCACCAATGAGGAGATTTGGTAGTGGACTCAGACTCGACAGCTTAGCGGTGGCGACCGCTAGTTGTGCAATGCGCAACGGGAAGTGAGGGTGCCTACAGCTCCGGTACCTATTTGGAAATAGGGAGGGTACTGTACGTGCACCCGGGGCACCTCACCCGAGGCACTAGCCTCTCGAAGAACCGGATGAAGTCAAGTGACAGAGGTCAGTGAGAACCCTATACACTGGCTAATCTGGGGTCAGAACCTGAACTTGTAAGGTTCCTGTGCGCGCGCAGGTCATAGTGCCCTTCTCGCCCTCAGGGTAGGTAGGGAGGGTCATTATAATCAAAACTAACGTAGAAAGATATGGAGCTTACCACTGCAACTAGATTTTACCAGAATAACATATATTCTTATGTAATAAAATAGCAATATAATCTCAGTGGAGTCTCAAAGGAAATTACAATGACTAGTGGTTTAAAAAAAAAAAGCAGAATTGGGGCCCTGGTAATTGGTGTGATTGTTAGGCACATTACAATCCATAAAGTATAAAATTCAAGTACCTGTAAGCAAGTTCTGTGGAACCAAGCATCTCTTGCGCAGCAGGGAGGCCAGAATGTCTGCAGTGTAGGGAACCCATCCACTTCTTCATAGCATATCACGCATACTGATTCTGTGGGTCTTCCATCACCTGAAGAGTTATTTTTTAACATAAAGTCAATGCTCTAAAACGTTTTTCTAAACGATTTTGTAAGTTTCAAGCTAAAAAGCGCTTTTTGAAGAATACTTATTTTAAAAAAAAGTGCCGATTAATAAGCAGTTTTTTTCCACTCTACACACATAATGTGCTCTGGTAAGAGCATGTATGTGTGACACCATTGATCTACCAATAGAAGGACGTCGGGTCCGCCCTAAAAAGTGTCCGAACCAATAGGGCATTAAATCGCAAATAAAGCATCAATGGGATGTCCGTCTTCGTTTGGTCGACCAACAGCACAGTGGTCAATGCCGTATTGTGTAATACAAACAGATAATGAATGACAAATAACAGTAAAGGCTGCTTTATTATTAGAAGCTAAATATGGTGCATTTTGTTAAGTTTCCAGTCGAAACTAATGTAAATTTTTGGGCCTATATATTGCTGCAAGCAAAATTAAGCTGTACTGCAATGACGTTACAATTTAAAGTAAATGTTTTAGTTTCTTTATATTTCTTTACATGACATTACTTTTATATAGGTCAATTCTGTAGCTTGATTTTGATTGCCTCTCCCGATCGGAGACAGTTTTCCGAGTCAAAGCGCATAATTGCGATTCACAACTAGCCGATCGGATACTTTTGACATTTCTAATCGGGACAATATTTGATTTAACTCACAAATTAGAAAGATATAGTAGGAATCAGGTTCATCTTCTCGATCGGAAACCCATCTGATTTCGAGACTCGGATGGGCTACCCGATCGGATCGATTCCCATTTGAATCAAAATCAGAACGCTGGACATTATATTCTTGGTTTTTGTATTAGAGCCGTCGTCCATTTGTTGGTAGGTCAATGTGTAACACATACACAAGCTCTATTAGACCTTCTTTTTATATTACAATTGGTTTTTAACCGACTTCGAGGTTTTCAAATCGACTTTTTTGGTGTGTACACACACCTTGACATGCTATTACTAGACATTTGTACCATGAGTACCAAATTTTACTAAGAGTATGTGTGTATACACGCACGCACGCACGCACGCACGCACGCACGGCGCACACACACGTACGCACGCACGCACGCACGCACACACACACACATACACATACACGCACACACACACACACACACACACACACTCGCGCGCGCGCGCACACACTCACAAGAGTTTTTTGACGACAATTTTTACAATTTTTAAAAAGTTTACATTTTACAAAAGACTACCTCAAGCCGTACTTAATACTTATTTATTTATTTATTTATTTATTTGCATTCCATAATGTACATTACAGATGTTTTACATATATTGAGATCAAATTATTATTAAATTAAAACATTTAATATCAGTTCTTAGGTTTTCGCGACTGTTACACATAGGAAATGAAACTATTTTTCCGGATTTAAATCCTTAAATAATTAAATATATATTTATATATTTAATTATATTGTATGAAAAACATTTTAAAAAATTTGGCCAACTTCTGCTGTCCCGATTTTTTTCGTCCTTTACAATGGAATAATTCCGTCATGAAACTGAGCCGATCAGCACTAAAAAAATAGTGATAAATTTTATTCATTCTTATGGCCAACACACGCTTGACCAAAACATTGACTATGCCAAAATTGTTTTCACAAAAAAAACTAAGCAGTTTCTAAGACAGTTTCCTTGTATCTTCTATAGTTTCGGATTTCTCCACACTGTCCCATTTAAAAATAACACTGTATATTTCAAACATTCCATTGAATTACGGACATTCCTGTAGAATCTTAAAGCTATCGCAGCGCCTCTTCGTGTTCATGTACGTTTTATCTTTCTGACTAGACTTTTATGTTATAATCAGAAAGTCGAATATTTCTTAATAATTTCGAAAATTGGTGTTGCAATAATTCGTCGCTAATTTAAGAAAATATAATCTACATGCCTATCCCAAATAACGTCAATTTTTAATGTTCTTAAACGATTTCCCCAATCCTGAAAAGATCCAGGACCTAAAAATATTGTCGTAAGGAAGTCTCCATTTTCTGCCTATGTTCCTCATAGTTTGGGTAAGAAAAGTCTAGTTATTCAAATCACTGGTAAACCTATAGCCATGCAATACATGTATTCTTATTATTTCCATTAAACAATTTCAATAAAACTTGGCAAATAGATGTAACTCCACCAACTTTTCAGGTAAATTTTTTTTGTAAGTTTTTTTATAATTATTAAAAAAAATATAACATACCTTCAGTGCTGTCAACATCTTTCAACTCCTTTAAACTGGCCAGATTTTTATTCTTAGCCAATTTTTTGCTGAGCTTCATTCTCAACTTGGCAGGAGCCATTATGTGGTCTGGTATCTTCTGTTTCGGAGCATGGTCTCTGCAGTATGACCTGAAAAGAGCAGATGTAAAAATTAGCATTACAAACGGAGATAAATGTACTAAATTTAGTACTAATTAGTAATAAAAAAAAAGTCTTGTCTAGTAAATTGAAGAGGGACCTCATACAAAAGTGCAATTACTCAATAGAAGAATTTTAAGCAATACAGAGATATAATATCCCTAAATTAATTCGTCATTAGTAACCAGAATTAGTACATAAGTTCATTGTTTTATTGAGGGTGATTTATTACAATTTTTATTATTCAAAAGAATTGAATCATTTTGTTGTGCAATTGTTAATTTATATTTTTTATTTTTGTTCATTACTTCGATTTGACTTCTTATTTCTGATTTATATTAATAATCTACCATTCTTTGTTAAGGACCTTCGACATAGTATTGTTTACTGATGACACAGCCTTGATTTTTAAAACAGACAGACATAAAGTTAATTATGACAATACCCCTTAAAAGAGCAATCCAATCAAAACATTTGAAAAGAGCAATCCCTAGAGTTTCCTGCTCGTTCTTCTCAGGGAAGTCAGTGTAGTGAACAAGCAGTAGCTTAAAAAATTACGTTTTCAAGTGTAAAAAATTTACCTATGGAATAAATTATTTTTTCACTTTCATTTTGATTATTTCCTATGTTAAATTTTTAGCTACTAGCTACCCTTACAGGGTACATACATTGCAAATTTTAATATGTACATTACATGCTTGCTAATAAATAAATACTGAAATTATTTATTTCATTGCTTTTTCAAAATTTCAGATCCATCTTGTAATGAAAACTATGAAAAGGGATTTACAGGCATGTAAGGATAAGTATAAGTCACAATGTATTGGCAAGCTATCTGGTTGACGAAAAGCATCTAGGTGGCTTGAGTCATTTGAGAAAGTCAAGAATGCTGGACAGTTAAATCAGTAGAACACAATCAGCCATTTAATGACTAAGGACACACAGTCACAGTATTCTTAATTCCAAATGACAACAAAGTATAGCACAGATCTGTTTATGGTTCAAAGACTGATCGCAGAAGGTTACAAATAAAAGTCAAGACTTCTAGAAAGTTTTGATGCTTCCAGTTATGCACTAAATCCTCTTTGGTATATGCAGTAGAGGCATGCTCTTTGGTCGGCCGTTTCGAAAAAACAATAACCCTTCATTAATTATTTTTAACTGCCTCTGTGGCCGAACGGTTACCATGCTGGACTACAATGCAGACGTTCCAGGTTCGTTTCCCGGGCCAGAAGAAATATTTGAATGGCCTACATTTATTTCTCTCGTGAGTTAGGGTGTAATTTGTTTTTGTCTATGTGTGTGTCCATGGCACCCGCGACACAGGGTTTCCCTAGTGTGGGGCTATGTCAAGTGTGTGTATTATTATTATTCTAATTATCCTCATTGTTAAGTATATCCGCAATTTTTTCTGCAATAAATAAATCACTTCTGTGTCCCGCACCTCATCTCATCGTGTTCATCGGTGCCCAGCCAGCATCATCAGGCACAGGTATGGAGTGGCTCTCTATTGCCTTTTAAATTTCATTTGGATCCAGCACCTGTGCTAGCCATTCGCATTCTTTGCAAGCACACCCTACCAGCATCTTAGGGTAATTAGTCACCTAGGATTCTAAAGTTGGATTTTAAAGTAATTCTAGTATGGCACCAAGTAAAAAAATGAAGTAGATAACTAACCTTCCACCAAAGTAAACCATTATTTTAAGAGCTACATTTGGACATTGCTTGACTACAAGACAAGATCATTGAATAGAGTAGTAATGACACAATCAAATGAACTTACTTATAATTTCCATAAAACAAAGACATTGCATTCCTCTCTCTCCCACAGGGCAGATGAAACTGCTTTCTGCATTGTGAAACGGCACAGCCTAGTGTGGCACCACCTTTACTACAATATGAGCATCGCTGGAACAAAATTACATCTTTAGCTCTATTGATTTCTCTACGACTTTAGTGGTCAAACAGTTAGTACAGTGGTAGCTGGATGTGGAGGTCACAGGTTTGAATGTCGGTAAGACCAATATGGGCAATGAACTTATTCTAAATTGATTCTGTTCTGTGTAAAACCCTGGAGTGAAATTTCTGGCACTTAAAGTAGAGGTAATTTCTAGTTTTGAGATTGTTTATTCAAATTACAGTGTGCCATGAGAACAATGCTCTGCATTGAAGGGCTATTCTTGCCGAACTTGGAACCACCAATCACGCCTCCACAGGCTCATGACTAAATGAGCAATAAAAGTTAGTAGCAGAAAAGCTTGAGCAAGAGTTTGACAATTATTGCCACCATAATTATTTCTGTTGCCAAGCAGTAATGTGAGGAATTACTGCATTCTTGTCTTGATGGGTAAGGATATTGGTAAAATTACTAGCACGTGGGATTTGTCAACTTTATGCTACAGCTTCAAAAAATACCACAAGAAAAAGAATGCAAATTACTTACATGTTTCTTACTTCTCTCTATTTCAGCTAGAATATCATCATATAAAAACCCGAAAAGACCTTCTTCATCTTTGCCTTTCTGTATTAAGCAACAAGATAACAACTGAAAATGAACATTTAACGGACGTGGTTATTTACCTGAATTTCCAAGAATATAAAGGACGCTGTGTTAGTTGAAAAAAGTACTTACAACACAAAAGTAATGGCACTGAATCTCTCCAATGGCATACAGTTTACCGTATGTGACCTCATCATCTACTTCACGCCGGCAAAAAGCGCAGGGTGCCCTTTTATTTGTCACAAGAGTCGCCAAAAGCGGGCGTTGCTTACCACGAACTGGCTTTTGGCTAGCCATGCTTTGGCACTCGTTTAACAAGTATGTACACTTTAACTTAACTCATGGTTATTACGAAATACAAGAGAATTATTTAATCATAATATTAAATGCCTCTATAGGTTAAATGCAGCCTATATTCCACAAAATTCTACAAATTTCTAAAGGAACCAAATCTCGTAATCAAAAAACGTCAAAACAAAAATGGCGATGAGAAAAACAATTGGCGGGATTTTGAATTTTTTTCCATAATTTTTTTTTTCATACTCAATTGTGAGACACGAGGTGAGTAAGTGACGGCAGCATACTATTTGCGTAAAAAATTATCTCGCTTTTGCTAATAAAACAAGTCCACTTCTATCCGAGAAAAGCGCTGCAGTTTCGTTCAACAACTTTAATAGTGTTCAGAAACTGACAAATCCTAGTCTATGGTTCTCTATTCTCTTTTACTAATTTCTTGGGAATATAACGTAGGACGGACGATCTATTGCTGTCACTGTTACTCATAGGCAGTGATGTAACGTCATCTCGCTCACCCTCATGTGAGCATTTGGTTGTAGTAATAAAAATGCAATTTTTCATAATTTATGTATGCAATCAACGTCAATTTAACAAGCAACACCGAAATTAGAAACGTCAAAAAAAAATCTCAAAAAGCCGCAAGGGCGACTAGTTTTTAATTTATATTATTGTTATTTGTTGAATTATTAAGCGAAAAAACTCTCGAAGAGTGGAAGAATCGTAATATTATCTAGTCTTACGTATATATGTGTAGTTTTATCCTTAGATTGTGTAGAAATGACCATGTATAGTGCCATAAAATGAGACGCAATCCTTTGTTTGGAAATAGTGCATTTACGTGAGTTCGAAGCGTTTCAAACTGTGAATACTAGTTGTAATCGCTTGAAAATCATCACAAGCATATATTTTACAACCGCTCAAGGTACTAAAAGGTTTTAAAACCGGTTTAAATCAGCTATATGATTCTGTTCGCCTGGTACAAATATTTCGCGATAACCTTGATTTTCTTGTCAATACCATGGCGAAATTGGTCAATTTCGTACTAAAAATTGTACAACTGCACGGATATAGTGCTAATTATGATCCAATAAGTTTCTAATAAGGCAAAAATGTCGGCGTTAGAAAATCAAGTATGGCCGGAATTGTCGAAAGAAAATTTAAGTTCGAAATATGAAAAATGCAGGAATATAACGGAGGAGATATACAAAAGAATAAATATAACTTTTCAAATAAAGAAACTGGAAAATGCTGGCCAGAGTGATGTTTCAGAACATAGGTAAGTCACAATATGCATTACCAATCTGAAGACCAGTTAATTGCGCCTTCTATACTCTTATCTACTATAATTTTTCTTCTAAACATTTTCTTTAATTTTTCTGGGGTGTGGCTAGCAAAAGTAACATAGTTTGTCTCCAACTAGAGCAGTGCCTCTTGGTTCACTCGGAATGAAGAAATCCATGATCACTGAAACACGAGCTGAGATCTACTGACATAAAACTATGCACAAAGAATGTCTATCCTGCCACCCGAACCCTTTCATTACGGAACTTTTATATCCATCAACTAGAGGCAAGCATGAGCACTTAAGAGTGGCCATGTTCTATAGTTAGGAGGTGCATTACTGGCCGCTCCATCAAAAACCGTCCTGTCTTGTTCAAAAGATTCAGATTGCAAAAAAATTTAAGTCATAATTAAATTTTTTATAATTTTCCTAGTAGCGTTATGGTTTTCAAATTCCGATTTCGTTAGTTATAACCAGTGATCGGAATTGAGGGCAACTCCCTCAGTTCCGATCACTACCTAAAGTATGAACATTTTCTTAGCATGGATATACCCATTTCGTCATCAATGCATATAAAAATTACTTTGTTACTGTTTATTTTCTAGAGTCCCAAATATAGGTTATCCATTGTTTGTTTTTTAAATTGCTAAAGTATTTAAATATGTAAGTACCCATAGAAACACAACTACAATGTTATTTTTTGAGACAATAATTTGTAGCAAATACTTAATATTAAATAATAATTTGTCGCCAACATACTCAAACAGTAAATAATATGCATATTCAAATATAATCAGTTCCGAGAAGTTTCCGGATTTTTAGAAGGGAATGTCCACATTATTGTTTAGTTAAATTAACTGCCTCAATTCTGATCACTGTTCATTACGTATATGTTAATAAAATAACAATTTGTCACCAATGTATTAAAATTATAATAAATAATACACATGAATTATTCAAATATAATCAGTTCTGAGAAATCCTGAGATTTGTACAAGGGAATGACCACGTTATCCTTTAGTTTATCTAAGTTAACTCCCACGAATCCGATAATTGCTTATCACTGCTTCACACAATATAAGCTCGCTGGTATGGTTTGTAATCTCATATTGTTAGGATGAATGTGAATGACTGATAGAGTGAAATATGTTGTGTTATAGAGACATGTTTATTGTTCGGTTCCAAATTTTTTTTATTTAATTTTTTTTTTTTTTATTTATTTTCCAAAATTATATTAAAGTGAAATGTGTTACAAATGTATACAATTGTTTATTTGCAATGGGCAATCCGTGGAGTTTCTTATAAATTGTTCTCAGGTGAATCTGCCTTACGAATGAGCAGTAGAGTTCAATCAAAATGATGATTTCAAGTGTAGGTAGGTAGGACTTAGGTGTTCTGAGCTCAACCACTAATCAAGAAAGCTATTGTTATATTATGTAAAAAAATCCACTTTTGATGTCATATGGAGACTGAAAATGAAAATTACACCAGATTTAAGAATAGGCTGTATTGCTTTATGGTAAAGCCATTAAAACTGCAAAAACATATATGTAACAAAACACTATGTAAAAATTATAAGTTCCCCATTTTAAAAACAAGTCAAAAAACCTTGTAAGTGGCTGAAATGCTAACGGCATAAAACCAGAAAAAAAAAAGTTTTTATAACAATACTCTACAACATTCATAAAAGGAATCATAAGCGCCCGCCATTTTGTTGACTTTTAAATTCCACTATATTTGACACCCAACTTGACAATTTGACCGCCAACGCGGTCGCCGAGCGCCGCGTTGGCGCCGCACAGCGACCACGTGCGTCTAACTGTCATGGCAAAATACGCTCTATTTATTTAGCTTTTACGTTTTAACTTAAAACGTCCCTTGTACGTGAGCGAGTCTGGCTTGAATTTGGTCTACGCGGCGACCGCGCGGTTGTATTCTTCAAAGGAATTTAAATGTCATTCGCCATTAAGAGCTCTCATGCCAAAAAAGTTTTGACGTTGGCTCCGCCCAAATTTGTGAAACAAATATATTCCTGAGGTTCGCGTGTCATGCGACAGGAGATGTTGAATTTTGCGCATTAAAAGTACCAAATTCGTTTTAGCGGAATAACTTTAAAACTAAAGGGATTTAAAAAAAATCCGTAGTGACAGTTCTCGATCATGCATAAATATAATTAATTATCTAATTTTTGTCCTAGTAACCTGTAGCATTTCGAGGATGAATCGAAAAAATGTGAAAATTAGAGGTAATTTCGTGATTTTTATCTATCGAGGAAAATTTATTGTTTTATGTTTCTGATTAGTATCTATGCTTGAATATATCGTGTAGTTACTCATACAATATTTTATTTTTAACTTTAAAGTGGATATACCCCTCTAAAATCAAATCGAAGATTAGGAATTTTTCCTCTGCTCCCTCTTAATGTACATGAAGACGTTGTAATTGGGCGGTCGCCGCGCGAAAACTTTCGCCTCATGTAACTGGGCGCTTCGTGTTGCCAAAATAAACTCCATAAAACTTACTTAACAGTACACAAATACTTATTTAACATAAATGGAATTAATAAATGCAAAATGATTTAAAGGCACAGTGGAAGCTCTGTCTTTAGAAATCCAAACATTTCTTTCAGTGACGTCATCGACAGCAATGACCTAAGTAATGAAACAGATCTCTTCGCTTGTGACAAGACTGACAGTCTACCTAGCAGCGAGGAGAAGAATGAATACGTCAACATTAACAACAATGTTGAGCCGAGAGTGAAAGATGTTAAAAAGGTTACTGTTTCCAAGAGGCCGAGGAAACGGTATGTACTATCATTTTAGTGGGAGTAGAGTTACTTGTGAAAGAGTTCGTCAAGTAGTGCTACCATACCTTAGAATAATAACGCATAGAAACCTAGTCCGCACACGCTAAGTGAGGCAAATTGAAGCGCTCCCAAAGGGCCTACACGAGCGGGCGGGCCGTCAGTGCTCAAGGTCAACTTGCACCGCGAACAGCTCAAGAATTTTAGCTAAAAATGACGAAATGTGCGGTTAATGAGTGTAAAAATACGTCAGACAAACATAAAATAGATACTAACATCACATTCCACAAGGAAGTAACGCGTTTCAATTTGTATTTTTATATAAATATTCACTAAAACCGAAAATTAACCTACTACTAAAACTACTAATCAAATTCATGTAGGCAATTTGATTTTTGCCTCACTTGTGACAGTTCGTTTGATATGAAACTATCATTCTATGCGTTATTATTCTAAGTACCATACCTATTTCTGCTGCCAAACAGTAATGACGTGTTTACACAGAGGCGACAACTTAGCATTGCCGGAGGAAGTGCAATCGACGCGGCCACGACCAAATTATAAATATAAGTTTATGCACAGAGACACAACTAATCTTTTTTTCCTGAATGAATGGCTTGTGAGATTAATTGTCTGTATTATTACTGTATAGTTTCATAAACATCACGGAGGGAGTGTATACAGAAAATTTGATCAGTGACAAATTAGGTAACTGACGGAGACAAAATTAAGTAGGTGAACGCACCGACTGACTTTGGGTTGTTTCTTCGATAGTTGCATTGGTCGCCGGTCTTCATGCGTCTGCCCAGGTGTTAGGGGTTGTCGCGCTGCCCGCTCTGGTCTCTCACAAACTGATGATGTACTATGATGATTTTCGGTATTGTCGTTAGACGACTGCTACGGAAACATCGCATCAAAGCGACCGTTCGTTAGCGCGGCGTAGTTGCAATACAACCCGTCAAAACAGGGAATGTCCTACCCTCATATCACTGCGGTTTTTTTTTAGGATTGGAACAGAGGGAAAGTGGGTAGACCAATTGTGCATTTGCAAAGATGCCTATGTACTAAAACCTGACAACAACATAAACTGACAGTAACATTTAATGCAACAACAAATCTTTTGAAATACTCAACAAACCGGTCCGGCTAGGTGGGATTCACCGGTACCCAGTGCGTGTATCGTGGTGGGACGCGCCCGCGAACACGTTGAAACTTGTTTGTTTAACAACCGAGTCGCCGGATGGTATTTACACCTAGTCGACTCGGTAGACTTCTGGGGCGAATACGACCTGTCGACCAAGTGTGAACGCGACATAACGTCGCTATCCTTGACTGAAATCAATGCGCATTCCAGGTTCAGGAAACGAGTGAAGAAACATCAATCAAAGTCGAAAGCGAGCGACAGCGACGGCTCGAGCGATGAGGCCCCTCTCAGTCGTATAGTCGACACTCAATGCGTCGCTGAGTCCCCGGAAAGCGTGATGGGTGTCCCAGGGATCATCATACTTACCAAAGGTATGCTTTCATATTGTATATAAACTGGCAAATTGTTGGTCCACTTGATATAAAGGGTTAACTACGTTGTGAAACTTTATTTCTTATGGCTGATTGCGCTAGTTTCTCCTTGGACTTAAATATAGCATACCCCAGCCTTGCTTTGCGGTAGAAATAGCTAGGATGTAATCGTTAAGTGTGCCCAGGCGATTTATTCCATAACTTATATTAATAGAACTCATTACCGACCATGACTGTAATGAGAAGAAAAATGGCCCGTGGGTTTTATTTGCAGTCAAGTTAGCCTGCATGCAATCATACTATTAACGTGCAAGTGTGATGAAAAACATTGTATGTTTTACGACTGGTGTGGGAATTACGAACCTCCACTCCGAAAGCCCTCAGTTTCGACTTCGGGCTTTTAATAAAGTCTCGTTCGTAATACAATAATGTACTATTAAACTGATATTGAAAGTACGTTAATTAATGAGTAAAACTATATCAATAACTTTTTAAATAACGCACACACTTAACATAGCCCCGCACTAGGGAAACCCTGTGTCGCGGGTGCCATGGACACACACAGAGACAACCACAAATTACATCCAAACTCATTAAAGAAATAAATGTAGGCCATACAAATATTTCTCCCGGCCACTGAGGCAGTTGAATAATGCTAGAAATATCCAAATTTTTAACGCTAAACGCTTATTTAATATGACATTCGTAGAGGGGCGCGTAATATTGTGCAAAACAAATATTTAAAGTGTGCGCTATCCATTATCTAAATAGACGCCTCAAGTGTACTTACTTCGCGTGCCTGGTGTAAACTATAAACGCTTAGAATAGAATAGAAAACATTTATTTGCCAGAATACAGTAATTATACAGATCTAAAATAAAAATAGGTACAATGTATTCAACCTGCAAGCAGGTGTGCAAACATTAATGAATTAAATATTTATGACCTCTAAAATTAATTGCATTTCAAATTAACATAAATTAGTATTTATAAATTCTAAATATTCTTTATCACTGTAAAAGCAATGTGTCATAAGTCATTTTGTCAATTGTGATTTAAACGTAGGTCCGTGTAGTAATGTAAATTCATCTGGTAAACTATTGAAAATCTTTACGCACATATTGAAGCAGTTATTCTTATAAATTAATTTATGGCATCGAGGCTGGTATAAAAGATTCATAATTTTAACTCTGGTTTGCCTTTGTATCACTTCACCACGTGTTTTAAAATATTGAGGATGAGTTTTCACGAATACGCAGATGTCCCTTATATACATGCATGGCAAAGGCTGTATGTTTAGTTTTTTGAACACCGGTTTGCAGCTATTTTCGAACCGCGCACCACAGATCGCTCGAATACACTTCTTCTGAACCTTAGTTGATGCTGCTACGCTTCAGAACACGCCCGACTGTTATCGTAGTTTAACATCCGTCGAAATCCACACATATTTGGGGACCCCGGGACGTGGACGGGCCGTGCTCCGTCAGGGGCTCAAAAAATATCGTTGCGTACCGTTAACGGGCCGGCGCCAGGACGGGCCCGCAGTTCATACATACTAGCACGCCCCGTCCACGTCCCGGGCACGGCCCTGGGGGTCTACTCTCGACCTTCGTGCGACATCCGTCCGAAACAATTACTGTAAAATAAGTAATATTCGACAAAATTAAAAGACAATACCCCTGGTGTGTGTGGATAGTCCTTTATTGCGCCATTAGAAACTGTAAAAAACACCACTTCGTCAAATTTTTGCTCAAATTTTACGATAAGTAATGTTCACTTGATGCACCATAGTTCTCGATTCTGATCGATTTAGAAAACAGACCTTAGAAAACCTCATAAAAATATTCTATAAAGTTTTGTTGTTTTTTTATTTGAGTGTTATTTTAGTATATTAATATTCCACGGCTTCTTATTTCAACAAATAATTGAAAAATCGTTTTCTAATTACGCGCTGCATCCTTATTGAATTTAGTCAATCGCTTTAGTGCCGAAGGAGGTCTCCCAACACTAAATTAGCGCTTGTGACGTCATCGGGCGGAGGTACAAAAAATGTGGCATGCTTGGTTTTCATACAAAATCGCGGTACTTGGGGCGTCTATTTAGATATATGTCTGTGCATGATAACTTCACTACGCATGAGCATCACGTCCTTCAGTTATTGAGATTCAGGTCAAATATTTATTGCTCCATATCTTTGTCACTTGCAGACGTAAAACCCAGAACCCAGTCTCCAGAAAAGAAGCCAAAAAAAGCAACTCCATTACAAAAAGACCAAAAGATAAGTAGTGCACAAACCGTACATAACGATATAAACAGGAAAGGGGGAAAACACACCACAAATAAGACCTTTTTGTCTGAAAATACTCCCCGCGAAAAGATGACCATAGAGACTGAGAAGTCGTTGAAGATTATCATAGACAAAACGGAAGTTGAGAAAATGATTACAGACACATTAGCAGCAAAGAACGCTACAAATGACGTCGAAACTATCAACAAACAATTAGGACAAGCCAATGACAAGATAGAACAGCAAGTTGGGAAAATGATCATAGATACGTTATCAAGACAAAAGCCTACAATAGTAGTAGATGAAAAGGTAGGAAAACCCATAGACAATGTGAAAGAGTGTAAGCCCATAGAGAAAGCAACCATTTTAGATGTGAAGAAAAAATCTTTTGTGGAGTCAAAACCTTGCACCATGTGCAGTATGGCTTTTCGCGGTGAACGGGGATTGAGGTAAATAATTTACTCATTTCCCTTGTTTAAAATAATTTTAAATAATTACTATTCTATTCTAGAATAGCGGCCTAAAGGCACATGGGACTTGTCAACTTATACTTCAGGGTACCGGGTTTTAAAGCTCTGAAAGGCTTTGCAACTGCTATGAACGGGCGTGTCGCTTATCACCAGGCGCCCGACTTGTTCCACCCGTCCTTTTGAAATGAAAAAAAAAAATTCAAATAGATATTTAAAGCAGAATTTATTATACTGGGTAGGCACAAGCAGAGGACACTAAATCTATCGGAGCCAGGAAAGTCCTTCAGTTTTTCAATGCTGCACGGTAATTAGTGGTGATCACAATAGATCACTCAATGCTCGCAGTGATGAGGGCCTAGGGATGCATAGGCCCCGAAGGAAAGCACCCTAATAATAATAATATATTTATTATTATCATTATTTATATATTTACTTTATTGATAAGTAGTGTGTTTATTTACATCACTTCTATTACAAGATATTCTTTGATTGCACCCCCCCTTACCTACTCTTAAATTTCTATCCTAAAGTTGCCTGGAAGAAACTGCTACTTAGCAATAAGGCCGCCTGTTGTACATTTGCTTACTTTGTGGTTAGAGTCAGAATGGATGGTGTCACATGCCATATTGCCTGTCAATATGGCAGGAGTACCTTTGCTATAGCTATCACCTCCTTCTGATAGAGGTACGTTATTTTTAAATAGGCACTAAATAGTACCATTTAGGTACATTTTTTGGTACTTAAGAACAATGACAGTCATTGTTAGAAGTAAAAAAAAGTCTGAATTATAACTGAATTGAATAAATTAATTAGGTTTTTCAAATTATAATAGCGGCATATCTAAGACTGGAAATAAAATCATATTTAAAAGTCTAATGACTAAGTAGATTGCAACCGGACTGATATCTACAACTGCCAGTTTTTTAGTTTCTTAACGTTAAGCGACATCTAGCCGCCAATAATAGAATTTCAGTACCTACGTATGGATATGGTTCACGTAATATCAAATGTACTGATTCGACCGATTTGTAATAAGAGTTTAACTGCTTCATTACAAACAATAAAGTAGATAATTCCTTCTCCAAAATTGCCATGCGAGAAAATGGTAAAACTGACAAAAAAGTTCCCGAAATCTGGGATAGACTATCATATGATAGATTTAAAAAAAAAAAAAAATTCGTGTCCGAGTTACCATTGCAATAGTCTGTGGTATGTATTAATTGACTCAGTTTTGTTTTTATGGCTTAACTTCATGCCTTTTGACCATACCAGTATACAAAATAAATTCCTCTGAACTTTCATTACGTCACAATCCCACGGCACCATTCTGCTTCTATCAACTCTGTTTAAGGCTTCTATAGTTTTATTTTGATATAATAATACACCGAATATATTCTATTCAATTACGTAACACAACCTCCATAACTTCAAACTGGAATATCTTTAATTAATTACTTCTCAGAATATTAAACCGTAAACAAAATTTGTTTCGGGAATTTCAAGTCTATATTTTCACACAATTTTCATAAATAAACGCATACAAATTACGTCAACAAAAATTTATATGGGAGTTTGCCATTGTCCTTTGTCAGAGTTCGTTAAGATACACCCTCCATTTTGACTCTGATGATGATACTTACATTATTGTGCTGCGTTTTCGTTGTAAATTTAATGTGCAACAAAGAAAATTTCATTCATTCATCCATGCTTCCTGTGTTTTTATATCGATTTTGATTTTCAGGCGTCACATGGCCATAACTCATATAATTAGCGAAGAAAAGAAATCTGTCAGGCCAGAACGAGAAGTGAAACCAGCTTAGGCCGTATCAATTCATCGATAACATTTATAAAGGTATTGCCAGATAGACAAATTTACGCATCTGTCTGTGCTGCGGACATCACGATTTATTTCTATTGGCTATTGAATTTAGCCATAAGTTCCAGAAAATGTATCACATTTTTTGGCACACAAATTGGTGTTTTTTCTAGGATTATTTAGATAATAATAATTGTCAAATGGTTTTTAAATGTCAAGATGTAAGGAGTTTTTAAATTTAAGGCAAATATTTGGGGGAAATATGAGAGCGTGAAGGAATGGAGTCAGAATGAGTAGTGTTGCCATTTTCATAAAAATTTGGTTCTGCAGAGCACGCAGTTAATTATTTAAATATTAAAAATAATTCAGATTTGTTATTTACGTGAAAATTATAAAGTTTTATTTATTATAATAAATTGAATTGTTGTTACGATTAATAGAGGACGCTATATTTTTTGGCACACTGTCAAATGTGTTAAAACGGTTTAAATTGTAGGGAAATTGGTTCATTATAAAATGGCAACACTGAAGTGTATGAAGCAGGGTCTTCTATCTGTGATCGTAAGGCAAATGTGATTGTAGGTTAGAAAGGTAGCGTGGCAAAATCGAAATGGCCGTCTGAGTACAAAATTTAATTGAAAAATTAGCTCTTTTTAAATTGGTAGGGTTATAAGGTAAGATAGTTTTTAAAACTTTCTCTTAAGCAGTTTCGAAATTAGAATGTTGTGCGTTAAAAACAATTAGTCTTTGGTACGTGGTGTAACTATTACGAAAAAAAATGTTTTAAATTAGGGTAATTTTTTTTTATAAGTAAATCATTGAATGGTTTGGGTCGCAAATATTTGGCATTTTCGAAGGTGCTGAGGTTTGTTTAATATAAGCAAAAAACACTTGAGTCGTGAAAAAGACTTAAAATCGAGTGCAAAATGCGAGACCATTTTGCATATGACAACTTCTTGACTCGACCTGAGCTTGGAAGTTATTTGTAACTATAAAAAGGTCATTACTCCTATAGGCATTATGGAGCTTGCCATCGATCAATAAGGCCGTTACGAGCTCAGACTATTAGTTTTATATAGTAGTTACGCAGCGCCGTACTTGTTGTGTAGTGCTCCTTAAAGTTGATACGCGCTAGCAATCTTTGCAATTCCTGTACTCCTGTGAGTACTTCACAAGGATATAAAGGTTCTTAGATGACAGGTACGAATACCAATGCGGTTCTAGATGAAGTAGTGTCGGTCTTATGCTAAGCATTTTTTAAATTATGCCTAGTCAAGAAACTCTGATGTTTTTTATTGTGCAAATAAATACATATCAGTTTACTTTAACTAAGACTTTTTGGGCTTTATGATTGATTGGAAATTACGGAAAAAATGTTTCCTATTTCACGAAAACACTTACGCATTTTAATCTTGTGTTCTTTACGCATTTTAACCTTGTGTTCCTTAAACGAAATGTGCTACAAAGACGTAATAACGTAAATATGAAAAATTAAATGGTCATGATAATTCGTAATTGAATAACTACCTTGATATCGACTTCTTAGGTGATTGCGATTGTTATATATAGGATATGAAACTATTTTTCCGGATTTAAATCGCGTATATTTCTTTTTTCTAACAAACCAACGTTTCGGACCCTTTACAGGTCCCAAATAGTCAACCGTGACTATGGGATATTATTTTGGATCTTAATTGAGTATATTTGTTTACAAACCAACGTCTTTACAGGTCCTGTGGTTAGTGTAGTCAGTCGTGACCACAGGATTTGTCAAGAGCCCGAAATCAGGGCTCCGTCACTCGCTCAAGGTTACGCGACAAGTGCCTACCGCTGAGTGCGCCGACGTCTTGTGTGTATATGTCTTTCATTTATGAGCATTCAGCTCCTTACGTTTGACCACGGCGGGCAACGTTATTTCCGCCTCTTGTGTGCGCGTGCTTAGGTTCCTTTTTCCTCATAGTGAGCGCCTGGTGTCCTCAGATTTCGTAGGCTATTGTAGCGTAGGTATTTTGATTTTGTATGAGAGTGACGTATCTGTTACGTATTAGCTATTAAGTAATCTGCGCCAAAACGTTATTTTGTTTGAAAAAAACAAATGACGAGATTTAGATCCGAAAAATAGTGTATATCCAATGTGTAACAATAGCGATCGCCTAAAAACTCGATAAGAACATAACATATTTAAAAATTCGCCGTTGGCGCAGTCAGAGTCATACCCTGAGAAACGTCCTTAAAAAAAGATTTAAAAATTGTTAATATTTCAACGTCCAACTTCACATGAAAATAGTAAACAAAAACATTCCGTAATTTCTGTTCAATTGATTTTGTTGTATTTAATCAAAATGATCTCTAAAATGTGTCATTGATTTTTTGGTGCAATCCGGGTGTTGCCATATTATTATTTAATAAAAAAATATGTATATTATTTTTATGTAAATAAACCGGGCAATGCCTACAGCCGTACAGGGATACCAATGTTAGGATTTCTGCAAATTTTGCAGGAAAATGTTGTGATGTAAAAAAACAAAATTATTTTTTGTGTGGTATCCCGTAAGATTTTTTAGATAAAAATTGTTCCTTTTTTATAGTTTAAAAATATTGTAGGGGAATTGTTTTAGATTAGATATAAATAGATAATAATAATTGTTAAACCGAAGCTGACTAGAATTTGTAACTTACAATTTTGAAATTTGCTCAATAATATAAAGGAGGTAATATTGACAAACATGTGTCAGTATAATACGCACTGCGTATTCATATTTACCTCTTTGTATGACATTTACTGCCATTACAGGCTAAAGGTGCTCCTATAGTCATTAAAGCTAGCAATGGTACTTGAACTACGGTCCAAATACAGCTGCTGTTAATAATGTGATATATTAAAACCACAAATATTAGCACAAGCTTTTGTACCCTAGTGTTCCTGTACTTTTTGTATCTTGGTTTACATTTGTAACTTATTGACGTGTCAGATCTCCGACGCGTGTCAAAGTACCGATTTTGATAAGCAACGAGGGTATCAATGAATATTGTTCCGCTACCATTTCATATGATAGGCGTCGATACGTCGTACGGTTAGACCGTGGTACGGTGATGATACGCCAAAATGATGTAACTGTAAACCAGATGTAAATCCTATCCTCTTAGGTCTATTATTCACCAAAGCAAGCGACACGTGAGTAACCAATAGCATTTCATTATTTTGACATGACCTGTTAGTTTAGCGAAAATAACGAAACACTGGTTGTTTAAACACGTGACTTCTTTTCAACTTTGGTGGATAATGACCCTTATTCCATTAAGTATGAAACCGTCGTACTTTTTACAACAAATTTTATGAAAAATTTAAAAAACAAATGCTAGCCAGCTTCCTAAGCCTAAAATTAAGAATTTACGTTTTTTGTTGTGGAATTATCATAAGATTATTTTAAAATTCAATTTAATTGACTAAATATTATTATTTTTTATTATTATTATTGGATTTATTTGTTCTAAATTTGTATTCTAGTCTGTAGCCCACCGTGTGTGGAGGCAACATAATGATCAGAGAATTCTATAAAAATATTATATATAAAAGAGGCAGTGGTACACAGAAGCCACATGCCGGCTGTATAAATTTGTCGTTATGAAATCCGCAAAAGCAGAACTCGTGGCTATTTTACACGTATTAAGTGACGATATAGTAATTAAACACGTTTAAACTAAATTTCAAATTGTTGTAACATTTTACATGTTTTAGTGAAACTATAAAGTATGTTAACATTTTGCAAAGAAAACGCCAGCCCACTAAATGCTTCAAATTTCAAGTCAGGCCTACCGGGAATTGCCCTGGGTGGAAGTGTCGGCTACTTCGTCAAAATAGGTCTGATTCTAATCTTATTCATCTATGATTACTTAACAGTTTAAGTGATTGTTTACACGTATAAATTAATTTCTTGGCCATTTAAAATGCTTGAACCAGCCATCGGATAACGCCCTATATCATTCACATCGCAACTTTGTGAAACATTATAATTTACAAGATCTGTTAGCACAAGCAGTGGTAGAAAACAATCGCAATTACGGTTACGGAAATTATACCAATCCTTGCCAATTCATTGAACATGTAATCTTATATCATTGTATTATTTTGCAATATCCATGCTACGCACGCGGCCGCGTGTACTAAAAATATACTTTTGAAATTATGGTTTTATATGTGATGTGTTATACATGCTGTATATTTGAAAGTGACACATATTCATGCATGTCATAGTAAATCATGTTACAACTTAACATACACTAAAATAAAATTAGGGTATGGGATAGAACAAAAAATAAATCAACAAATTTGTTTTGGAGTGTACATAGGATAATAATAATAAACCGATTCCCTTTACGCTTGATTTCGAGTGCATTGGGAATACTACCAAGCGAGTACCGAGTGAGACAGCAACAATAACAATGATTTCACATCTCTCTCTCCCCTACTCATTTATGTTATGATGAAAAGCTGTTATCGAAATGATTACGTTTTAGCTTATGTTCATTATTTTTTACTTATGAACTATCATCGAAATGTTTTACGTACTAAAAAAGATAAGTTATAATTTAATAAGAATTGAGGTTTTAGGCGTAGTTAAAAATGTGAAATCAAATTAATTATAATGATTTATTTTTTAGTTGTTTACAGTTTATTTACACTTACGTGGTACGGAGCAAGTGTTCAAAATATCCACCGTTTTCCACAATTCATAGTCTAGCACGTCGTAGTAAATTTTGTTTTAAATTGATCAACACAAACACATTTTGTCTCACTCAAAGTTTAAGTTCATTAGTTTATTATTTTCTTGGGTTCAGAATCAGGAATATAACGCACTCTATAAGTATGTCTCACTTTCAAATATACAGCCTGTATAAGTTGAAATATTTCCTCCGATTCTGTTGTCGATAATGTCTACAATTCTATTGACTGTAAAATCATTACCATCTTTTTTTATATGATAACATTTTCGCGAAAAACATTCCTTCTTTCACTAAACAACGTGCCGCTTCCACACACATATCATGGCGTATAAAATCTCCATTGTAGATCGCTAGTTTTTACGGTGTTTCTCGTGACCGCGTATCATTGTGTGTTCATACTGGGTATTATTATGACCGTCGAAGATTTGATACGCGTTGGAGTACTGATACGCACTGTGAGTGGATGAAACGTTAAGTCAAATTAGTTTAAATGAGTACAGCAGAGTAATTTTTTTTTATAAACTTATTTGTTCGTGTTAAAATTAGCTAGTTAAAATTCTATAATCT